TTACTGGTTTTCGTCTTTGGAGTTAATCATGATTTTAAATATTTTTGTTTTGATTTCAGTATTTCTTTATGATTAAAAACAAAAAAGCTCTTTCCAATTGGAACTAATTAAACATATTTTTCTCTTTTGTAATGAGAGATGCCCACATTAGACTGTGTTAACAAGCACACCCCTGTAGATTAGTAACTAGTGCTGTGGATAAAGATTTTGTTTATACATAAGCATAACTGCATTTGTCATATTCAAATCTTTTCCCTGTTCTTATATGATGTTTTCTTAATTTATTTATAAAGGTATATGGGCCCAGAGAGTCTCTGATTATACTAATGGATGTAGACACATCATCATCCACATGAAAATGGATAGTAAGAAATAAAAAATGGAAAACAGAAAAGTTGGAAATGAAACAACAGAGGATTAAATTATAAACAATTTTAGAACAAATGCATACACGGTCACATTTGGATTTGAAGAGATATTCTAATATGAATGGCACAGATGCATGCATCTTTACTGGTATATTCTATATCTGTGAGGCATGGGATTTACACCAATAAACCAGAAGACAACTAGATGCCTTTGAAAGAAAATGTGATAGGTAGCTACTCAGAGTAGATTAGCATGACAGAGTTGCAAATGATGAAGTCTGAAAATGAATCCAACTAGTGAAAACACTATTCCAACAGGTCATTCAAAGGAAACTTGGCCTTTTTGGTCACATCTGTAGAATGAGTGACAAGAAAGTAATTAAAACTATAACACTTAGAATCATGGAAGAGACAAATAAAAGACACAGGCCATACAGGGAATGGATGGATATGTAAAAGAATGGTGCAAGAATAGTATTCAGGAGCTGGTTCACTGTGCCCTAGACAGAGAGGGATGGAAAAGAATGGTGAAAATGGCATCAGGTTCCAAGAGGCACTACTCTCATGGACAGTGATAATGATGATGATGATTCTAATAGGGTAGGAAATTCAAACTGAACTTGATTTTTTTTTATTTAAGCTGTGAAGATGGATAGAGAAATCTAAAAGCATTCACTCCTTTACAGGAAAAAAGTATTTTAATGATTCCTATATGCAGAAAGATAATGTTTTGAACGACAAGAAATTGAAAATTTCTATTTTATTATTTCATAGATTCTCCCTATTACTAAATACTACTAAATTAATAGTAAATTAACATTAAAATATCAGAATCTATTGTTAAAAGAGTAATTGAAGTTAATCATATTACTATACCCATCTTGGATTCAGCCAGACCAACAATGAGATGATCAGCTGGTTAGAGACAGGGACAGTATATCTAGGATAAAATTCCTACAGTTGTTCAACCACCCTAATTCAATTAAGAGTCTCTCAGAGAAGTAAGCTGACGTCAATCTTCTTGGCTGATTGGTCATCTTCTACATAAGTTTTTATGATATCCATTTGTTCATCATTAGAAATTTATGATAAGAACTGATTATTAAAACATTAAACGTTTTGCTCATTCAAGTATTATTGTATCATAGTAAAAAATCCAAGTTTTGAACTCAGTCTAATCCCCTATAATTTATCATAAACTGTATGAATTGAGATATTATTTCCTCATCCTTCACCCATCTATTACATCTCAGGTCTATGTATAATGTGTGGAATTATAGCTGGTCATATAAGAAACAGTTTGCTTTAATTCATTGTTTATACTGAATTTTCAAATATACACAACAAAATTGCCTCATGCGATTAATTAAAGATTATTAATACAGGTGTAACTAATAAATAAAAATTGTTCCACTATAAAAATAATTATTTTAAATAAGTTTTGACTTCATTACTTACTAATTTTTGTTTAAGAAGTTTCTGTTGCAGAAATCCTCTTCCAAGTGCCTGTAGTAATATTATTTTAATTGAGGTTTTTCTATTCATTAAGTTCTTCCACCATATTTGCAATTTCCTGCATGTTTTCTTCTATTAAAAAAGTGTTTATTAATAGAATTACTTGCTTAATCGAATTATTTGCTTTTTAAATTTACTCATATTGCTTCATGAGATAATTTAGAGAAAAACGCATACCTTTTTTGCAAGCAAAAAGAAAGAATAATATCTTTTCCTCATCAAGAATCCCTTTCCAGCACTTATGCAAATAACTGCACTTTTATATAAATCATGATAATTTTGTTTTGCCTGTATCATTCTCCACAAAGTCTGAAGCTTTAGACATGCAAAATCCTATCAATTTAGAAAACAAATTATCGTCTATACGTGACATAATATTAATAAAAATACTTTTATAAATGTAATGAAATTCTAATTATTGTTATTTGTTCATGTTTCTATATACAGAATGTTTCAAAACAATGTTATTGTTAATATGGAAGTAACATTCGTAGTGGCAGGTTGTCCTATGGATAGTTCTTCATGTGCAAGAAGCACAGTCGAATTATGAAGTTTTCGAAAAAAGCATAGTCTTGCTGCCTCTTCTGCAGTGACTACACACCTTCTTGTAAGTACAGTTTTCCAAAAAGAATGTGACCATTTTAAGTTATTGTAATTATGTTAATTATTATCCAAAAACATTGTAATGTATATTAAAACGTTGGAAAACTGTCCAAGTTTATCATTTGCCCATTAAAATTTCTCAGTCACATGGCACACATCTGAATCTTCCTAAGCTGGCTATGGCATATCTGTTGTCATTTCTTCCGTGGCAGTATTAATTCTACACTTCCCACAGATTACTCATGTTGTACAATGATGAGGGATTCCAACTTTGCAAACTACAGAATGCAAAATGCCCTGTCTGTTTCCATGGGCATCTGCAAAAAATTTTTGAGGGGGCCAAAGCTTGGAGACAACTAATTACATCAATAAATTTTTATTTAATTATTTAATGTTTTGGTGTTTTTCACAAGTAGATTATTAAATACAAAGAGACAGACAAAGCAACTCATGATCGAGGACATAGGATTACATATCTCAATCACTTTTACTCGATGTCAAAAACATGTTATTTTAATGTTTAAATTTTTAAAAAGATCATAGAAAATTACTGTAAAAACAAATAATTTCTGGTCTTTCAAGAATCAAAAAATTAAAATTATAG